GCCTGCCTCTGCCTCCCAAGTGCTGGGACTACAGGCGTGCACCACCACGCCTGGCTCCAATATCAGTTTTTGATTAATTTTTTAAATCAAACTTTTTTCTCTAAGTTTGAAGTTTTTTCAACTGGATTCTTTTTTTTTTTTTTTTTAATGTGTATGAGCACACTGCCTGCATGTAAGTAAGTACACCTGTGTTGTGCAATGCCTGCAGAGGACAGAAGAGGCTGTCGGATACCCTGGAACTAGTTAAGGACAGGTGTTAGCTGCCACGTGGGTGCTGGGATTCGGACCTGGGCGGTTGGATTCGAACCTGGGTCTTCTGCAAGAACAACCAGTGTTCTTAACCACTGAGCCATCTCTCCAGCCCCAAGATTATTATTCTTAATATCCCAGTAAGAATCTCATTGGCAGTATTTTTTATTATTATTTTTATTTTATGTGTATGAGTGTATTGCCTGCGTGTATGTGAGTGCACCTGTGTCGTGCAATGCTGAGGGCGTCAGAAGAGGGCTTCAGATTACCCTGGACCTAGAGTTAAGGATGGTTCGTAGCCTCCATGTAGGTGCTGGGAATCGAACCTGGGTCCTCTGCAAGAGCAGTCAGTGCTCTTAACCACTGAGCCATCTCTCCAGGCCCCCTCATTGGCAGTTTTAAAAAAATATTTTATTATTTTTATTCTATGTATATGAGTGTATTGCCTACATGTATGTAAGGGGACCCATGTCATGCAATGCCTCTGGAGGTCAGAAGAGGGAATCGGGTCCCCTGGAATTGGAGTTATGGATAGTTGTTAGCTGTCATATGGGTGCTGGGAACATATTCCAGGTCCTCTACAAGAGCAGCCAATGCTCTTAACCACTAAGCTATCTCTCCAGCCCCACTGGCCTAGTTTTTTTTTTTTCAAAAAAAAAACCAAGGTCTCACTAGGTAGCCCTGGCTGCCCTGGAACTCTTTATGTAGACCAGGCTGGCCTTGATCTCACAGAGCTCCACCTGCCTCTGCTTCCCCAGTGCTAGGACTAAAGGCATGTACCACCATGCACAGCCCTCACTGATATCCTTAATAGCATGTTAATTTCAGCCCCAAACACATGCTGTGAATCTAATACTATGGCAACATTAGACATATATAAATTAAGGGACAAACTGCAAAGAAGCTGGCTAAAAACCAGCCTGGCCTCTTCAAAAAGGCCAGTGTCAGACAAGACAAAGGAAGCCCACTAGCTGTGCCAGGCAGAGGGCTCAAGGGAAGACTGCCAAACACTGCAGAGCCCAGATGTACTCCCACATCAGGGAGAAGGAACTCATGAAGCCCTTTGCATAAAAAATGGCAAAATCCAAGAAAGGCCTGTGAGTTAGATCCGTGGCTAGGCAGCCATGTTAAACTTCCTGGTTTGAGCAAATATCCTGTGTAACAAAAATCTTCTACTAAGACATAGGCTAAGTGTTAACATTGGTACATCTTGCCCTGGTGGCGCACGCCCTTAATCCCAGCACTCAGGAAGCAGAAGCAGAAGGGATCTCAGTGAGTTTGAGGCCAGCCTGGTCTACAAAGTGAATTCTAAGACAACCAGGGCTACAGAATGAGACCCTATCTCACAAAGAAAAATTGGGGGACTGGAGAGAGATGGTTCAGTGGTTAAGAGCACTGTCTGTTCTTGCAGGGGACCTGGGTCCATTTCCCAACACCCATAAGATGCCTGTCAGTAACTCCAATTCCAGGAAATCCTGCGCCCTCTTCTGGCTTCTGTGGGCACTGCATGCATGTGTTGCACATATCCACGCAGGCAAAACACTCATACACATAAAAATAAATAAATCCTAGATAATCTTAAAATATTTTATTTATTATTTTTATTTTATGTGTATGAGTGTATTGCCTGCATGTATGTGAGAGTACCTGTGTCGTGCAATGCCCTGGAGGTCAGAAGAGGGCTTTGGATTCTCCTGGAACTGGAGTTAAGTATGGTTCATAGTTGCCATGTGGGTGCTGGGAATCGAACCTGGGTCCTCTGCAAAAGCAGTCAGTGCTCTTAACTGCTGAGCCATCTCTCCAGCCCCCAAAATAATTTTTTTAATGGATCAGGAAATGGCATTCTATGCAGGTAAGAATCATGGCCCATAATCTACTGATCAAAGTATTGTGTTTGCAAAATTCTGAGCCACCATGGTGGCACTTAGAAGTACACCTTGAGAGTTCCTGGGAGAGTTCATGATAAAGTCCCATGGGGGGCGGGACTCTGCGATGACGAAGCTGATTAGTGTACTCACAATCCTGTGACACCTCACTTGTACTCAGTAAGCAAGCTCAGTCTCAAAGAGCTAGACTTCGGGGGGCGGGGGGAAGACAGAAAAAAGATTTCCTGTGATGAGGGTGGGGTGAGGTAAAGACAGTGCTGCAAAGCCTGACCACCGAGTTCAGTCCTTGGAACCTGCATGATGGAAGGAAAGAATTGACTCCTACACGTTGTCCTCTGACCTCCACTGGCATGTGCGTATGCACAAACACACACACACACACACACACACACGCACGCATGCACACACATAGGAGCACATGTGTACACACGTGGGTGCACACATACACCTAGGAGCACATGTGCACACACATGGGTACACATACACACACAGGAGCACATGCGCACACACATTACATACACATATAGGAGCACATGTGCACACATGGGCACACATGCACACATACACATAGGAGCACATTCGCACACACATGGGCGCACATACACACAGGAGCACATGTGCACACACGGGCACGCACACGTGCACGCACACATACACATGCACGCACACATACACATGCACATATATACACATGCACACAAACACGCACACACATAGGAGCACATGCACACACACGGGCACACACACACACACACACACACACAGGAGCACATGTGCACATACCTGGGTGCACATACACACACACACAGTATATAAATAAGAATAAAAGAATAAGATTTCCTGTGATCAAAGGAAAGGATTCAGTTGTGAATGGCTCAGGCACACTGGCTTCCTCTGCTGTGGGGCTGACTTAGTTGAGAATGTGAGGAGGAGCTTCCCTGAAGGAAATGTAAATTCAACATTGAGGAAGGCAGACTTCCTGCTCTCGGCGCCCTGCAACCATCCAGCCTCTAGCTTGCTCCTGTGGCCCTCCCCCTAGTGTCAGATAGCTAATCCTGTCTGGATTCCCATGCAGGCTGACAATTTCTTGGGGGTTTTGTTGGGCTTTTGAGACAAACTGTAGAGCCAGGGCCTGGGTTAATATTCAGATCTGAGCTGTTTTCTTCTGCTGTTACGTTGCCATGACAACACGGACTAGGGGCCACAAAAGGCAGACAACAAAGGAAGACACGTTTCTCATGCAGAGCCATCTGCCGATTCTCCTTAGCACCTTTTCAACAACAGAGTTAAGTCGAAGAAAGAGCTGGATGGGGGTGCAGAGGGGAAGGCTGAGGAATCAGTCACAGGGAAACGGCACTGCCATGTGTAAAGCCCCAGAAGGGTGGGAGGATGGCTGCCGAGATGAAGGACATCCAAAGGAGGCTCCAAGGACAGCCACGTATCTCTCTGATGGGGCTTTTGTCAGTTGCCAAGCATCTTAAGGGTCATAAAAGAATGTGTTATTAAGGGGGATTTAATATATGCAACCCCAGAAGGCACCCTGCATGAGGGGTCTTCTGACGGCCCACATAGAAACCCAAGCCACCTGCCTCTGCAAAGATCTGTCTTTAGGTAGCGGGATGTCCTAAATACAGTAGCTATGCATTTACAAGATATTTCAAGTCCAACTCCAAATCTCTCCTTGTTCCAGGGATGTGCAAAGTTTTAAGACTACCAACCTTGAAACTGTATTCAAGCACAATGGGGCATTTCCAAAGCACATCACCCCAACATGTTTCCTGAAAGCTAACTCTCCCAGTAACTCTGAAGCAGGGACTGGCAGCTTGCCAAGCCTGACATATGAAGCGCAGTCCCTGGCTCTGGTGCTGTGTCTCTTAGGCATCCACCTATCTTATCTCTCCCACAATTCCCAATTTCCTGAAATCAAGACCCAGTTTTGATGCTCAGTCTCTCCTAAAACAGTGTTCCTCCGTGAGTGGGGTCAGTAATCTTAAAACAATCAACTGCTTCTGTCTGGAGCCAGATTAACCAACTTTACACAGCATCCTCTCATCCCCAGTACACACTTAAACCCATCGGCTGGGATCACAGCTGGGCTCCTCCAAGGCTGGATGTGGGAGAGTTTTTAAAGTTCTACCATATAAAGGCTAACAAGATAGTTCAGCAGGCAAAGATACCTATTATAGAACCTGACGACTTGAGTTCAATGCCTGGAACTCACTGGTAGAAGAAAACTGACTCCCCTCAAGCTGTTCTCTGAGTTCCAAAGACATACACAAAATAAATTAATAAAATATAATGAAATTTTGGGTTGGTTGGAGAGATGGTTTAGTGGTTAAGAGCACTGGCTATTCTTGCAGAGGACTTGGGTTTGGTTCCCAGCACCCACATGGCAGCTAACAACTGTCTGTAACTCCAGTTCCACGAGATCTGACATCCTCTTCAGATCTCTGTGGGCACTGCATGTATATGGTACACTTAACATATATGTAGAAAAAACACCTATACATATAAAAAATAATCCAAGAAAATCTTAAAATTTAAAAATACTAAAATATATATAATAAAGTTAAAGTTTGGAAATGAGGGGAGAGGAGGGATGAGAAGGGAAGGGAAAGAAGGGAAGGAATGAGCCAGCGAGCCAGGTGCAGCCCAAGTTAACTTACAGGACTAATTCACAGAGGACGGACGGTAGCAGCATCTTGGGCCTGGGGATGATTCCCAAGTCCTCTGGTGTCTAAGCAACTGAGTACTTATCCCACTATGTGGTGCACCCAAGGCTAGACCCACAACTCTGCTTCCCTGACCCTGTTGACAGCAAGTGGCAGAGTTACAACTCTGCTGCCCCAGAGCCAAGAGGCTGACCTCGAGCTGTGAGGCGGCTGTAGACGTGGGAGTTGACCTCCTTGTCACGCACGTAGCATCGGGTCTCTTCCACTGCTTCACGGATGACAGTGACAGCCAGCACGAAGCCCTGCCGAGGAAAGGCACAGAGGTAAGCCCTGCTAAGCCCAACTGTACTCTCCTGGTGCCAGGAGCAGACAAGATAAGCAGCCACTGGAGAGGGCAGCAGGAACGACCTGTGAACTATGCCAGATGCCCATGCCTGGCAAGCCCTTCCTCTGAATTCCCTCAGAAGCACACATTTGCACACACCCTGGAGAAGCATGTACCAATGCAACATACACCATAGGCAGTGTTCCCCACTTCAGGGGCCAAAATGTCCCTCCTCAGCAAGGGATGGCGACTGCCCACATCTGTGAGGCACTAATGAAATGCATTCCACCAAACTGGTTACTGACTCCCACACAGATAAGGAAACTCAGGCATGGTGAAGTGGAGTACATCACCCAGGAACACAAAACTAAGTAACAAATGGAAGGAACAAAGTCTCACCTTTTTGTAAATGTGTATGTGATATGCAGGTGTGTATGCATATGTATGTGCAGGTGTACATATACATGTGTGCATGTGGAGACCAAAGGTTGACATACGGAGTCTTCCAATAGCTCTCTACCTTATGTATCAAGGCCGGGTCTCTTCAATTCAGTTAATCTACTAGATAGCGTGCCCTGGGGATGCCCTGACTCTGCCTTCCTGGCACTAGGATTACAGGCAGGCCACCATACCAGCCCAGCATTTATATGGGTCTTAGGGATTGGAACCCAGGTCCTCATGCTTGGGTAACCCCTTTACTCACCCAGCCTTCTCCCTGGACCCCCAGAGAGTCTTCTTCTCTCTGCTATTTACTCAACAGTTGAGAAAACCCACCAAGCAGCTGATCAAAAAGAACAAGGTACCTCCTTCTGAGGACAGAGAGGGAAAGTCAGCCTCACCGAACACTCAATGTAACTGAACAGAGTGAGAGCTCTACTGAACTTCCCAATTTCCCCAACTACTTACTAGTCAGAGCCCTCTCAGAAGAAGGAGACTTAGGGAAACACTAGAAGGAACATTTAGCCATATCTGGAATGCTTTCTAAGTTTTAATCAAGAAGTCAGGTTATTGCTTTGTACAAGCACCAATCAATAAAAATTAAAATCTGGGCTGGGTGTGGTGGTGCATGCCTTTAATCCCAGCACTCAGGAGGCAGAGGCAGAGGCAGGCAGATCTCTGTGAGTTCAAGGCCAGCCTGGTCTACATAATGAGTTCCAGGACAGCTGTGGCTACAGGGAGACCTTGCCTCAAAAAGACCAAAATATAAATAAATAAGTAAATAAATAAATAAATAAATAAATAAAATAAAATAAAATAAAATAAAATCTGGGGCCTGTGGGCAGCTCAATGGGTAAATGCACTTGCTGTCCAGACTGAGGACCTGAGTTCAATCCCCAGAAGCTACATGGGGGAAGAAGAGAACCAACTCTCACATGCTGTCCTCTGACCTCCACATGTATGCCATGGCACATGTGCCCATATACATACACATACATAAGAAAATAAATATAAATTTTTTAAAATTTTTATTTATTATTTCTATTTTATGTGTATTAATGTATTGCCTGCATGTGCATAAGCACACTCGTGTCATGCAATGCCCAAGGAGGACAGAAGAGGGCACTAGATGCCCCTGGAACTGGAGTTGGTTGTTAGCCACCATGTGGATGCTAGGAACCGAATGCTGGTCTTCTGCAAGAGCAGAGTGTTCTTAACAGCTGGCCTTTCTCTCCAGCCCTTCACTTGTTCTTCTCATAGCCTCACACTTATTCATTTTTCTTGTCACACCCTTTCTAGTTTCACAGCTTGTCAGAACAATTTTCTTTTCTTTTTTAAAAAAATACAGTTATCATACCTGTTCGGGGATAACTGTTGTGATTTTTTTTCCCTTCCTTCCTTCCTTCCTTCCTTCCTTCCTTCCTTCCTTCCTTCCTTCCTTCCTTCCTTCCGCCCTCCCTCCCTCCCTCCCTCCCTCCCTCTCTCCCTCCCTCCTTCCTTTCCTTCTAGGATTTCATTTTCCTCTTTCTCCTCTGACCTACATCACTATCAACACAGAGGACTTTAAATCTGGTGTAAATTCCAAAGACCTCTTCTTATCAAAGGATCATTCTGCTTCTAACCAGATGGAACTATAGTTAGCAAAGTAAAACAGGCACATTTCATGAAATCCTAAACCAGACGACACAGAAAAGGGAGAGCAAATAGTTCTCCATTTACATTCCCTACCGCATCCTGCTGTTTTGTAGATCTATGTCAAAGCCTGAGAGTTTGCTACTGTCTGGTTACTTTGCTTGAGCCTGGTTAAATCCCACTGGTTGTTAATGGAACGTGTGGCTCACACAAAGACAGTATCCACCAAAGTTATTGTACCAGTTACACACACACACAAACACACACACACACACACACACACACACGCACACAGTTGTCACTGACTTTAGAGAACTTGCCACCCCTTCAACTAGAAACTGCATTAAAAGAGATGCAGAAATAAACCCAAAGTGTCCCCTTTAGGAGGTTCTTAACACTTATACAGATATAGGAAGAGTTTCACTGGGAGTGGGGTCTGGGACTATCTGAGCTTGTAAAGGAACCACAGGGAGGGATCATCCAGCCAAGCAACTCTCTGGGTTTTAAACCTCCCTTTGAAATTGTACATCAAAAATAGATCTATGGCCAGGTGTGGTGGCACATGCCTTTAATCCCAGCACTTGGGAGGCAGAGGCTAGCAGATCTCTGTAAATTCAAGGCCAGCCTGGTCTATATAGCAAGTTCCAGGCCAGTTAGGGCTACAGGAAGACCCTGTCTTAAAATAAATAAATAAACAAATAAATGAACAAACAAACAAATAATAAATAAATAAATAAATAATAAATAAATAAATAAATAATAAATAAATAGATAAAGCAGTGGGGCTCCAGGAGAAGGGTATGGCCAGTTCATAGGGTACTTTCTCTTCTTTTTTTTTTTATTTTTTTAGGGTCTCAAGTAGCCCAGCTGGCCTCAGTCTCACTCTGTATCCAAGGACGACCTTGAACTTCTGATCCTGGATTACAGACATGCACCACCACACCTGGTTTTTGTGGTGCTGAGTACTAAGCCCAGGGTCCTATGCATGCTAGGCAAGCATGCTACCAACTGAGCCACATCCCCAGCCCTGAGCTTTCACTTCTTTAAAAGAGCCATCATCAAGGGTTAAAAAACAAGGGAAGCAAGGTGAGGTGGTACACACCTGTCATCCCAGTACTGGGGAGGAGAGACAGAGGCAAGAGGATTCAGTCTGGGCTGCATGGTGAGACTCTGTCTCAAAAGATCACTGTAGGAGGCTGGAAAGATGGCTAGTGGTTGAGTATTTGCTGCTCTTTCAGAGGACTAGAATTTGGTTCCCAGCACCCACATCAGGTGGTGGACAACCTCCTGTAACTCCAGCTCCAGGGAATCTGATGCCCTCTTCCTGGCCTCTGTGGGCACCTGCATACATGTACAGACATACACACAGAGACACATACAATACACATGAACAAAAATAATTAGAAAAAGTAGTAAGAAAGCAAGATAGCTTTCAAGAGCTCAAGAGATGGTCATAAAGCCTATCAATAAAAAAAACCAAGGGAAAGACACAAAAGATAAAATGACTCAGACTTGCACATGCTGCCATCTTTTTCCTAAAAGGACACAAGGTTTTTCACTCATTTGCTTGTTTGTTCATAAAGAAACTCTGTAGCCCCAGCACTTCAGAGGTAGAGAAGCAGGGGGAACACAAGTTCAAGGTTATCCTCAGCTACACAGAGAGTTCAAATCTAGCCTGGCTATAAGAGACCATTTCTCCAAAAACAAAACAAAAAAACCAGCAGCAGCAATCTTGAACCCACAGCAGCTCTGGTTGCTTACATAAGACTGGTGTGAAATTGAGTCTATCAACACTCCATGGCAGATGGGGGAGGGGCCCATGAGGACCCTCCCATATACACATAAGCAACCCCGACATTAGTCAGGTCACTCTGGGTCACACATACACAAAACAGATATGGAAGTAGGAAGGGGCTAGATGGAAAGAACAGACTTAAGGGGCTGGAGAGGCAGCTCACTGGTTAAAGACATCTGCTGCTCTTCCAGGACGGGAGTTGGGTTCCCAGAACTCAAATCAAGAGGCTTACAACCATGGATGGCACACACCTTTAATCCCAGCATTCAGGAGGCAGATGTAGGTAGATCTCTGTGAGTTTGAGGCCAGCCTGGTCTACACAGAGTTCTAGGCCAGCTGGGGCTACACAGTGAGACCCTATCTCAAAAAAACAAAAAGAAAACAATAAAAGCAAAAAAACAAAAAAAAAACAACAAAAAAACCCTTACTGAGAGGAAGGATGTTGGAACGGAGCTGGGTAAAAAGGAGCAGCCCTATAATCCCAGCTAATGGGGACCGTAAATCTAAAACCAGCCTGGGTTACAGAAGGATTCTCCCATGAAGGCATTCTCTAGCTCCCAACATCCTACCTCTCCTACAAGTGATTTGGAGCAGGCAAAACCTGTTCTCCAGCCTCAAACCACTTTAGAAGCCTTTGTGGAAACCACCGGGGGAATGTGCAGTGACTAGTCACCCACCCACAGGTCCCTTAGCAACTACTGGCTCTCTGTTTTACAAGTACTTGCCATCAAATCCTTACCATTTCTCACCCACTACATATAGAATACTATATTTGTTTCCTTAAGGAGGTCTTAAATCATTTCTGAACTTTTCCTCATTAAATTTTTTTTTACAAAGGGGCTGGAGAAACAGTTCAGTGGTTAAGAACACTTGCTACTCTATCAGAGGACCCGAATTTGGTTCCGAGCACACATATCATGTGGCTCACAACTATCTGTAACTCCAGCTCCAGCGGCATCCAAGGCTTCTAACCTTCACAGGCACTAGCACTCACATGCACATACCCACACAGGCACACATAATTTAAAAACAAAATAAGCTGGGCATGGTAGCACACAACTTTAATCCCAGCAGTCAGGAGGCAGAGGCAGGTGGAGCTCTATGAGATGAGGCCAGCCTGGTCTACATAGCGAGTTCCAGGCCAGCTAGGGCTATAGGCAGACCCTGTCTCAAATAAGCTCCGTGTTCAGGACAGATGATAGATAGACAATAGATAGGTAGATAGATAGATAGATAGATAGATGATAGATAGATGATAGATAGATGATAGATGGAGATAGATAGATAGATAGATGATAGATAGATGATAGATGTAGATAGATAGATAGATAGATGATAGATAGATGATAGATGGAGATAGATAGATAGATAGATAAATAGATAGATAGATGATAGATAGATAAGCAAGCAAACAAACAAATAAATAAAATCTTTTTAAAAATTTAATAGGATATTTGAAAATCCAAGGATTTCCCCCTGGGATCCACTGTGTGAGAAATCACAGCAACTATGCATCACAATGTCTCTCTGGTGAAAGGGGATCCAGGCTCCACCCTCTCCTCACCTCAGTCACGCTGAGTTTCTTTCTGTTCTCAAATGTTCTACATAACTACCATAGGACCCCATGGGCTTTTGCACTGCTGCCCTCAGTGATGCTCCCCATCTACCTCTCTCCCTCTTCCCATCACCTCCTCAGGAGGCCTTTCCTGCCCACTGTGGCTCATGTCTCTACCCATCACCACTTTCCTCCTTTGTCCATACAATCAACACTAACTTCCCCTGGAAGCCTGTCTCTCCTCTAACTTAACTCTGTCAGCTTCAGAGCACTTACCAAAAAGTGTGTGTGTGTGTGTGTGTGTGTGTGTGTGTGTGTGTGTGTGTGTAGGTCAACCTCAACAGCCATCCACCTTATTTTTTTTAATATTTTATTATTTTTATTTTATGTGTATGAGTGTATTGCCTGCATGTAGGTAAGTGCACCTGTGTCGTGCAATGCCTGTGGAAGACAGAAGAGGCTGTCGGATCCCCTGGAACTGGAGTTACAGACAGCTGTTAGCTGCCATGTAGGTGCTGGGATTCAAACCCGGCTCTTCTGCAAGAACAGTGTTCTTAACCACTGAGCCATCTCTCCAGACCCTTTCCATCCACCTTATTTTTTAAGATAAGGTCTCTCACTGGAACCTGGAGCTCACCAATTCCAGTGGGGTAGGCCAGCAAGCCCCAAGGATCTATCCACCTGTCTCCACTTCCCCAGCCTATCTGGCTTTTTATGCGAATTCTAGAGATTAAACTCAAGTCTACATACAGACTGAGCCATCGCCTCAGCCCACTTTCCACAACTTGAATCTATTTGATTTCTCTGCTTGTGGTCTAATCCTCAGCTTCAGTCCCACAGGGCAGGACATCCTGTCTATTCCCACACTATTGCCCCTCCCCCACATCAGCACCAAGCACAGTGCCTGGTGCAAAATAACCATTTGCTAAAGGGCAGGAAAAAAGGAAAGGGAAGGAAGGAAGTTCTGCTAGGCTCCACGCACATAAAGCTTGAGTTAGGTACCTTTCTAATCCCCTTGCACTGTAATGCTGGGCACAGCACAGAAGGAAATCACTACAATAATACCATCCGTGGATACAGACAGAAAGAGAAAAAAAAAAAAAAAAAATCAGATATGGTGTCACAAACCTTTAATCCTAGCACTATGGGAGGCAAAGGTAGACAGATCTCTGTGAGTTCAAGGCCAGCCAGGGCTACATAGTGAGACTCTGTCTCTAACCATCATCATCATCGTCATCATTATCATCATCATCATCCACGAGGACTAAGCACTTATCCTCATCATCTGCCATGTGCTGAGTCCAGAGCCACACTACAAACCATAAGCATGCAGGAAGACTTGGTGAAATGACAGACGTCAACTGACAACTGAAGGAACCCTGGGCAAACAGTATGGGCCCTGCCGCATTGATCCTGGTGGTGCATGACCTGCAGCATTCACAATAAAACCTGGGCAGAGGACCTGGGCTCAGTTCCCAGCACCCACATGGTGGCGTACAATTGTCTATAATTCCAGTTCTGGGCATCTGATGCCCTCTCTCTTCTGACCTCCACTGGCATTGCACTTAAATACATGCAGGAAAAACACTCATACATACAAAATAAAAATAAATAAAAATAAAATTTTAAAAACCTGGGAACTCCTGGTGTATTGACTTAAAAGCATCATGCCCCTTAAAAGGCCCAGAACAAAGAACATTCTGTCTGCAAACCTCTGAGGCTGCCAAAGGAACAGTGCCAACCTACTCACCAAGGGAACCCAGTAAGTGTAGAGGGCTCCAAGTCTCATCTCAGGAACAAACTGGGAGCAGGCGAGCAGCAGGAAGTAGAGGTTGAAGAAGTACTTGAACTGGTTGAACAGCACCTAGGCCGCAGAGAGCAGAGGGAGCAGAGTCAGATTCCTGGAGGAGTTTGGAGGTTCTGAGGGAGAATGAGATGCAAAAGCATTCCTACAGAGAATGTGGCTCCTTTGCCTACCTTAACAGTGAGTGCCCTGTGTAAGCTAGGAGAGTATGGATCAAAATACCAACTGCAAGGGCCGGGGACATAGTGGGTAATGTGCTCGCCCAGCGTGTGCATGCGACACCCTGAGTTCTATCCCCGAACACCTGTATTTTGAGCACTCAGGAGGTGAAGTCAGGAGAATCAGGAGTTCAAAATTGTCCTTAGCAAATTAGGTATCTCAAGGCCAGCCTGGAGCACATAAGACCCAATCTCAAAGAAAAAATACTACTTGCAAAAGTAAACACTGAAGGTTGGGGATGTAGCCAGAGGTAGAGCACTTGCAAAGCCCTCCGTCTAATCCTTACTAACACGAAAAAAAAAAAAAAAAAGCACAAAAGAGCCATACATCTTTTGAAATTGAAAAGTGACATTGAAAAAAAACATTTTATTTATTACTTTTATTTTATATGTATGTGTGTATTGAGGTCAGAAGAGGGTGTAGGATCCCCTGAAACTAGAGTGTGGTCGTTAGCTACCATGTGGGTGCTGAGAATCAAACCCGGGTCCTCTGCAAGAGCAGCCAATGCTCTTAACCACTGAGCCATCTCCAGCCCCCAAAAGTGACATTTTTATTTCAAATTACATTTTTGTTTTTGTTTTTTAATTTTATTTATTATTTTTATTTTATGTGTACACATGTATTACTTGCATGTAGGTAAGTGCACCCATGTCGTGCAATGCCTGAGCGGGTCATAAGAGGCTGCTGGATCCCCTGGGACTGGAGTTATGGACAGTTGTTAGCTGCCACATGGGTGCTGGGATTCGAACCCAGGTCTTCTGCAAGAACCATCAGTGTTCTTAACCACTGAGCCACCTCTCCAGCCCTCAAATTATGTTTTTAACATTTATTTCAGAACAATAAATGTTCAGATTTGTTCCTGATGTGGTGGCAGTAGGAAGGCAGAGGCAGGTGGATGGATCTCTGTGAGATCCAGACCAGCCTGGTCTACATAGCAAGTTCCAGGCCAGCTGGGGCTATAGGGAGACCATGTCTTAACAAAAAAAAAAATCTCAGTTCCCACTCTAGATGGCAGGGTGAATTTTCATCCATACTTTCATCTCCCAATTTCCCTGTCTCCTATTTCATGAGGTCACAGGGAGTAACTTAAGAACTGAGTGATCTTTTCCACATTTTTGTTATAACACTATCTCAAAAATACCAAATAAACATGAAGTTATTCTGACATGTGGCATGTGATGACCTTGGGGCAGGCCAGGTCCCCTCCAGGTGCTCAGACCAGGCAAGACAAGGGCCAGTGCCAAAGGCCGCCGGAAAAGACGGGAACACTCTACCACAACTGCAATCTGCTGACAGGACCATTGCATAAATTCATGGTAGGAAAAGAAAAACCTCAGCTCTTTCACTTACCCCAGGGAGGAAGGTGAAGAGGTTGTACTTCCGGTTGTTGATGACATTTCGAGGATACCGCTGGTCTCTCTTCTCGGGATGTCCCAACCAAACAGTTCGGGGCCTGGGCTCCCCTCCACCACAGCATCTCAGCCATTCACAGCACCTGTGGAAAAGATGAGGCCACAATTGTGGATCTAGGCGATGCCCACACCTTCAAGACCACATCCACATACCTGTAGGCCACGCCCACCCCATCATGGGCTCGCTTAGAAACCTAGGTCTCACCCATGCCATCAAGGCTGCCCAGAAACATCTAAACTATGCCTATACCATCAAGGCCAGGCCCAGAAACCTAGGCCACACCCATATATATCTAAACCATGCCCACACCATTAATGCCACGCCCCAAACCTAGCCCACGCCCATATACCTAGGCTACATCCACTATCAAGGCCAGGCCCAGGTGTGCCCATGGCAGGCACCAGATCAAGGACAAATCTATACCACCTAGGCCACGCCCACACCATCAAGGCCACGCCCATATTGTCTACTTTTCAGGATGCTCTTCTCTGAAGGGGTTTGGCCAGGGCAGGACCACAGCCATATCGCTGGCATTATCCTTCAGTGAGATGGAAAAGCAGAGGTACCTAAGAAGCAGTGGTCCAAGCAAAAGATGCTGAGTCCCTAGGATCTTGTCAACTGAGGGGATTAGAATCACTAGGAAAACGAATACTCTAGTATGTCTGTGAGGGGATTTCTAGATTAGGTGAACAGAGGTGGGAAGACCCACCCTAAGCCTGGGCAGCACCATTCACCTGGGCTGGGGTCCCAGACTGAGTAAAAAAGAAATCCAGTAGAACACCAGCATTCATCGCTCTCTGCTTCCTGAATGTGGACACAAAGTGACCAGCTGCCTCCTGCTCCCACCATGCCTCCCCACGAGCCAGAGTAAACCCTTCATTCCTTAAGTTACTTTTGTCAAGTATTTAATCACAACAAGAGGGGCTGGAGAGATGGCTCAGCCGGTAAGAACACTGGTTGTTCTTGCAGAAGACCTGGGTTTGAATCCCAGCACCCACACGGCAGCTAATAACTGTCTGTAACTCCAGTCCCAGGGGATTCGACAGTCTCTTCTGACTTCCATGGGCATTGCACAACACAGGTGCACTACCTACATGCAGGCAATACACACATACACATAAAATAAAAATAATAAAACTTTTTAAAAAGTATAGAAAAAATGTTTAAAAAAATAAATCACAACAAGAAAAGTAACAAATACAGTCCCCAAACCCAAATTATTTCAAAAAGCAGCATTCATTTAAAAATAAAAAGATTATAGGCTGGGTGTGGTGGCACATGCCTGTAATCCCAACACTTGGGAGACAGATGCAGGTGAATCTTTGTGAGTTTGAGGCCAGCCTGGTCTACATAGTGAGTTCCAGGACAGCTGGGGCTACTGGGAGACCCTGTCTCAAAAAGACCAAATAAATAATAAATAAATAAATAATAAAAAGATTTAGCCGGGTGTAGTGGTGCACAGATTTGAGTTTGAGCGCCAGAATCCACATGGTAGAAGGGAAGAACCAATTCCAGCAAGTTGTCCTTTGACCATCATACACACACAACCCATGGGACAAATAAATAAATAAATAAATAAATAAATAAATAAATAAATAAATATTTAAACTAAAAAGGTTATTATACCTCAATAGCTTTATTATTATGCTTCACGTTTTACAGAAGAGAGAGGGAAGAACAGAACGTAACAACTAAGCTATGAGCAACAGCCACAGCGGACCTTGATCTGGGGGTCCCCTGCTCCCCCAGTATTATTACATAAAGGGTGAGGGGGGATCTTCTCTGCATCCAGTTCTCCTATTTTGAAGACACAAGACAAACAAGTCATGGTTCAGTCTCAGAAGACCCTGGAGACCAGCCAGTATGCTGGCTGCTGGTACACAGACCCCGAGTGCCACTCCCAGCCCAGCTTTCCCAAAAGGGTGGTTTATTCCCACCAACCCACCAGGATCCAGATCTCAGAGGCTCCGAATCACCTCACACAAGGTGAGGTAACACCTGGGACGCTGCCACTGACACAATGAGCTTGTAGACAGGGGCTGAGAATCGCAAACCCCCTTAGGCAATGCAGTGGGACTGAAACTGCCCCAGGATTCATGCTCTTCTGTGTTCCACCAGAGTTCCAGGATACCCAGGCTGAGAAGGGGAAATTCTCAGTCAGATAGCCTGGAGTGGCCAGGCAAAGTGAAACCAGCAAGATAAGATAGCTCTGACTCACATGACTCATCTGCTGTGGACCCTCCTCCCCTTCCTCCTGCAGGTCAGGTCTGGGTGGGATGCTGGGGCACAGAGTTAAGCCCATAGGGTCTCCATGTAATGGGACCCCAAAGCACAGGGCCAGCCGGCAAGCTGCCTGCTCAGATGCTCAAAATTTCCATGATGAAACACAATGCTTTCTTAAAAATAGCATCCTGTTCCAGTAAACCAGGATGGGTGGAGCATGCTCAGATACGACAGGTGTCAGAGCTAGTAACTCTCTCTTGCTGGCCATTCTCTAAATCATTCAAAGGCTCAGAGAGAAGCCTTGAGGAGTCCAACATCCTCATGCCTGTTCTCAGGCACAATGATACGTGAACACTCAGTAAGGCTGTGTACATGACAGTTAGGAAGCAACAGAGAGGAGAGGGAGATGAGGGAGGGAAGACGATGGGGTGGACAGGCAGCAGACCACTCTGGGTGTGGATTCCTTCCTGATAAGGACTAATTCAGAGCCACAATTCTCTGTTCACCCTACAACAATGCTGTAATATTGTGGCTAAAAGCAGCTGAGATGGTCAGGGATAAAAGCATTTGCCTTGGAGCCCTGATAACCTGAGTTTGATTCCCAGAACCTATGGTGGAAGGAGAGAAATGACTCCTGAGGGTTCTCCTCTGATCGCCTCACACATGCACACTAATAATAAATAAAATAAAAATAGATAAATTTAAAAAATTTTCTACAATGTCTAATGGAAGATGAAAATGAATGAAAAGAACCACAAACTGTCAAGTTTTCTATTTATACAAGGGTTTTTTGTTTGTTTGTTTCTGTTTTGTTTTGGCAAAGGTGCCACAAATCAGGTAAGGGGTTCTGCTCCTCATTAATAACCTACAGCCATGTGTGTATGTGTCTACAAAACCTAGAAACAGGCTGGGTGTAGTAGCAAATGCCTTTGATCCCAGCACTCCAGAGGCAGAGGCAGGCAGGTGGATCTCTGTGAGACTGAGGCCAGCCTGATCTACACAGTGAGTTCTAGGCTAGCTGGGGCTACAGGAAAACCCTGTCACAAAACAACAACAATAATTTTTTTAGAAGTTCTATTCCCATCCTGTGAGAACCAAACACTGGGACAGGACCCTTGCCTCCTCCTTCCTCAGTTTCTGCCTAACGGGGTGCTGTGAGAATCTGTCAGGGGAGATGCAAACAATATCTGCCTTCTCCTCCTAAGGTCCCAGCCACTAACCAAAGACCAGTTCCAACAAAGTTCACTCTGGGGAACCAGTGAGTTTACTGGGCTTCCTTACAGAGCATGGGAGAGGGGTTGCTGGCTGGAGCATAGATGGCCCCAAAGTAGCCCTGTTACCTAGGGCAAATTGCATACAAGGGCTGGAGGAGTGGCTGGATACCCAGGTAAGGGATTACTGACCCTCCCCAGCTCCTCCTTCTATGAGAACATAACAGGTATCAAGGCTGATTACAATGGTCTCTTGTAAACCCACACAGAACTGATGAAGAAGGTAGCTTTTGGCAGGGAGGAGGAGACTGTCTACAACACAGGGCTAAATGTCCGGTGAGGATTAAATAAGGACTCTGGTATTATCTCAGCCCAGGATAATTAGCTCCAAGCCTAACTCCTAATCCTTGCTTTCCATCTCCCTCATTCTGTTTTCACTTTTAATGAAGAGAAATGGCATGTTTTCAGTGTGGTCCATTTTGCCCTGCAGGTAATCAGTATTTACTGAGTGCTCTAAGAGTACTAAGGCAAGTGGCCACAGCATCATGATTCACGTACCAGATATCCTGAGTACCACACACCAAGGAGTTTGTAGTCCAGTCGAGAGGTGAGAAACAACTCAAGCTAGGTATGGCAAGAACTTTCCTCAGGGAAACTGGGAGACGTAAAGAAATGTCTGCGTCCTCTAAAGGGCACCACAACAAACCAAAGCAGAATTACACCAAAGTCCAACTCAGGGAACCAGTGAGTTCATTGGGTTTACTTACAGAGCATAGGTGAGGGGGGACTTCAGAAGTGTGGGTGACCCCCAAAGCAGCCACACCAGAAGTCTCACCCCAGCATGAATAATGACTTTCCTGTAGCTACATAGATGGGGACCCCCTTCAGCTAACCTTCCACAGTCTGTAGCACCTCCCAGGACCATGAGACCATATGCAGTTAGGTCAGAATTACATAAAATGGCCAGGAGGATCTCAGGTGAGTGTCCAATGGCCCTCCCCACCTCCTCCTTCTAAGAGGGACTGTCAGCAGTCAACATGCCTGATCTTGAGGGGCTCTTGTGGAATCATAGCTGCTCTGATGATGCCTCTATGCTCAGAGGATGGTGCTCTACAACACCAGGCATGATGGCACACAGACATTCCCCAGCACTCAGGGGGTGGAGGCTATTCTGGGCTACATGGTGAGACCTCTCTCAAGATACTGAACATTTATTTTATTTTTAATTATGTATGTGTGTCTGTACGTCTGTATGTGTGAGGGGGTATGTGCACATAAATGCAGTTGCCCATGGAAGCTAGAAGAGGGTGTCAAATCCCCTGGAGGTAGTTTCAGACATTTGTGAACTGCCTAATATGGGAACTACAAGACAAAGATCCAGGGGGGACACAACGCTTCATGTGTACATGAAGCAACCAAGACTGGTCCAGATGGAATGTCCTGTCATGATGGGAAGAGTAAAGATGAGACTGGAGGAGGAAGAGGAAGGGCAGGGGGAAATGGCAGGGTTTTACCACTAAGGCACGGAGTTGGGGTTTTACTTCACCCACAGTGGGGAATCACTGGAGTTACAGCACGGGAATAGCAGGATCTGATTTACATTGTTAAAAGGCTGCCCTGGGTCTGGGGACATGATTCAGCAGGTAAAGATATCTGCCCCCAACTCTGTCAACTAAGTTCAATCTCTAGCACCCACATGGTGGCTCACACCCTCCTGTAACTCCAGATCCAGGGGATCTAACACCCTATTCTGGCCTCTGCAGGCACCTGCACTCACATACTCTAACCACACACACACACACACACACACACACACACGCACACACGCACACACGCGCACACACACACACACGCACACACATACACAATTTAAAAAGTAATAATTCGGGGCTGGAGAGATAGTTCAGTGGTTAAGAGCACTGTCTGCTCTTGCAGAGGGCGTGGGTTCAGTTCCCAGCACTCACATGGGAGCTAACAACTGTCTGTCACTCCAGTTCTAGGAAATCCAATCACCTTTTTCTGACCTCCATGGGCATTGTACAACATGGGTGCACTTACATACATGCAGGCAATACATTCATACACATAAAATTTAAAAATAAAATATTTTTAAAAATAAATAAAAAGTAGGCAGGGTGTGGCAGTGCACACCTTTAATCCCAGCACTCGGGAGGCAGAGGCAGGCAGATCTCTGTGAGTTCAAGGCCAGCCTGGTCTACATAGTGAGTTCCAGGACAGCTGGGGCTACAGGGAGACCCTGTCTCAAAAAGACTAAATAAATAAATAAATACATAAATAGTAATAAATCTTCTTTTAAGAATAAAGAAATGGGACTGGAGAGATAGCTCAGCGGTTAAGAACACTCACTGTTCTTGCAGAAGACCCGGGTTCAAATCCCAGCACCCACATGACAGCTAACAACTGTCTGTAACTCCAGTGACCTCTTCTGTCCTCCTCAGGCATTGCATGACATGGGTGCACTTACATACATGTAGGCAATACATTTATACACATAATATAAAAATAATAAGCAAAATTAAAAAAAAAGAATAAAGAAATGTTGGGGCTGGAGAGATGGCTCAGCTTAGCAATTAAGAGCACTGGCTACTCCTACAGAGGATCTGGGTTCGGTTCCAAGTACCCATTAGGCAGCTAACAACCGACTATGACTCCAGTTCTAGGGGACTCTGATGTTCTCTTCTGACCTTCATGGGCACTGTATGACACTGGTGCATTTACACACATGCAGATAGTGTACTCACGATCTGATTTAGTACTCACAACAACTTCACAAGCTGGGTGCGGGTACGGTCCTCACCTTCACGGTGGATAGACGGAGCCCATGAGAACCCAGTGACGGGCCATCGTCCACTGCTCCCTCTGGTTCATTTAGTTCTGAGTGAGAAGAACGGGCCTAGAGCCCAGGCGCTCTCAGCACCCTGTGCTTCCTGCTGCACTTCTACTTGTGTTTTATTTTGTTTGTGTGTATGTTTGTCATGATCTGTTTTCTCACACAAGCTTGCCTTGCACACAATCCTCCTGACTCAGTCCACATCTGGCTTTTGCTGTTGTTACTATGTTGTTTTGTTTTGAGACAGGGTCTCATGTAGCCCAGGCTGGCCTTGAACTCACCACACAACTGAAGACAGCCTTGAGCTTCTGATCCTCCTGCCTTTACCTCCCAAGTGGTGGGACTACAAATGTATGTGCCACACACCCAGTTTGTGTGGTACTGTGGATCCAATCTAGCGATCCATGCATGCAACCAAGAACCACCAACTCAGCTACATCCCTAGCCTTGCTTTTTAACACCAACTGAATTGTCTGACACATCTAACTACAAGGAACATTCCATCCCACATTCTAGATATACTGGGAGATGGGCTAGAAGACAGAGTCCTTAAGGAGGATAAGCTGACAGGTACAGCAGTAGGTCCTGTGGGCTGGGTGAGGTTTTAAGCCAAACAGACCCAGTGCTAATTCTAGCACTGCTCAGCCCTGAACCACCCATCTCTGATTCTTTGTCCTTTGTGAGAGGCAACAATAGTTAAGTCCTGCCCTGACGAACCACCCTGAGAATGGGGGTTTATCTATCTAGGGCACTGGGGAGTACTCAGTACAGGATAGGAATTCAATTAGTCATAGGTATTATTTCTTTTTTATTTTGGTCTCTTTGAAACAGGCTCTCCCTGTAGCCTCAACTGGCCTGGAACTCACTATGTATACCAGACTGGCCTTGAACTCACAGAAATCTGCCTGCCTCTGCCTCCCAAGTATTGGGATTAGAGGTATACATATTTATCTATTTTTATATATGAGTGTTTGCCTGCATGTATATAAGTGCACCATATGCCTGCCTGGTGCCTGCTGAGGCCAGAAGAGGGCGTTGGATCCCCTGGAACTGGAGTTATGGACAGTCAGCTGCCATGTAGGTGCTGGGAACTGAAATCAGATCCTCTGCAAGAGCAACCAGTGCTCTTAACCACTG